CCTCCTTTGCTTTCGTGTATATATACGTGATGTGGTCCGTATAGCATATCGTCCCTTATTACCGGTAAGATGTGCCGTGGCGATTGAAAGCTTACGGGTCAATGGCACACGTATATTTTACACGATGGATCGATGGTCGAGCAGTTGAAATCATCGAGGAGCCCATATAATATATATAGTCCTGGCGAGCACACGCGTTTAAGCATATATAGGTGCACGGGTCACGCGTGGAGCGATGCAAAGTTTTACTTTGTCTCTCTGTATTTTTTTAAAAAAGTTATACTTATCAGCATTATACGAACGCACTAAATATATGGGTGTACACCAGCGAATGTTTCAACGAACCATTCACCAAAAGCCGTGGGTGTTTTTTTTTTTTTTTTCTTCCGTGTACAAACATACGTATATTTTTGTATACGATATGGCGAGGGCGATCTCTGGATCTCCCCCGCAACTTTGTATACACACACACACACACACTCACACGGGTGCTCATTATGATCACGAATGCACGTATACGTACACGCGATGAGAGAAGGAGATCCGATGAAGGTTGTGTACATGGGGTCGGAGACGCCTGTCCACGTATAGGCTTGCGCTAATGACTCGAATTAAACTCGTTTTCTCGAGCAAGTATAAGTAACCAAGCAATAACCAGTGAGTACACGTGATGATATGCGTGTATGGCGTGTCTCTGTCATCGTTGTCGATCCTTCGCGGCAAATATTCACCTCGTTCGTTGTTGTTTTTATTTTCATATAACATCCCCTTTTTTCGCGTGTTCCTGTATTGTTTCCCAAGTCGGTACCGATCTCCCATCATCGTAGCACCGAGGGAATCCTGCATACCTCGAGAGAGGGAGAGGAAGTGCCAAGAATTTCTCAGTCGCACGGGGGGAGAATGAGAAAATTCCGCGGACTCGCGGCCATCGGGGGGAGGCGTAATCGACGGCCGCAGGGGATATAAATATACGTGACGAGCCGAGTCGTTCCCGGCAACAACACCTGCGATCCTGTCGGTATACCTATTTCCCCCCCCCCCTCTTTTATTCTCGATGCTGTGGCATAGCTGTAGGGATGAAAGAAAGATAGACTAAGGTCGCCGCGGGGCTGCGAGACGAGGACTATCTTGTGTTCCGCGTGAGACCTCGCCGGAGAAGATACAGTCATTAATTTTGAGGATTGAGGAGGAAACGAGGCATTTCTCGACGAAATTCTAACTCGTTCCCTCCACTCTGTCGATCTATACGCGTTTGTTGGTCTATAAAGTCTCGATGTACACGCATTTCCAATTTAGGGTATCCGAGAAGTAATCGCGGAGCAGAGGAAAGATGAGGGGTTAGAAGAAAGCATATAGTTACTCAAACTTAACATCGATAGATGATGTACTTATAAGTAAAAAACAGTTATAGTTCAACGTGACCTATTTCAAGTTATACCCATGTCCTTTTACCGATGAATGTTGGCTTTTCGCTCGAGAATAGGTGATGGTACGTCTGTAATGAACGAGCGAGTCAAAGTTATCCTGACGGCAAATAATGCAACAACCGCAGGAAATCTTGAGTCTAGACTCCATAAGTAGTTATACCTACTCCGCGCCTCGCACTACCATCTATATTATTCCCACAGCCATAGGTATCAAGTATAGATGTACCTTGTGCGTATATATGCATATACATATATATAGATTACAGTCGTTGCAAGTTTGCTCGTCTATTGGCGAACAAAAACCACATAGAGCAGGATGCACGTACAACTCACCGTCTGTACATATACATATACGTAGTTGCATATACATACATACACTTGGGAGAGGAGCTTCGCGGAGTCGAGGAGGAGGAGGCTGTCACACAATACTTGCAGTGCACCTTTTTTTTTTTTTTTTTTTCCTCTCTCAGCACACACATGTACACATTTACGTGAATGTATATATACGCGCGTATGCATGACTTTTACACCGAAGAGTGCAGTGAGTAACAGCGACAACGACAGCATACATACATATACACATACGCATGCAGCCACGCCAGTGGATTGTCTTTCACGTTAACAAAGTGTCCGCGTGCACACTGCACTCTCTCTTTCCCGATGTCTGTATAGACACTCGGTCCAGCCCATGGGTGGCTTTTATCTCCTCGCACGCGCCTGTGTGTGTATTCCATCTTCTTCTGTATATCTGTTTTTTTTTTTTTTTTTTTTTTTTCTCTTCTTCCATTACCCTCTCGTGGATTCCTCCACTCGTCTTTCCCTCCTCCTCTTTTTATTATTTATTTTTACGACTTGGGCTGCTGCTGCATGCCGTCGTTGATATGCTGCGTTGCGCGCGAGCGACCGAGACCCAAGCCTCTCTCTCTCGTGGCAATTGATTAATTTTCTTCCTCCCTGGAATATACCTACCACAATTCGTGTGGTGTGCACATAAGTACGGACGAAGTCATTAAGGACATTATACAGCCGCGAGAGTTCCAAGTGAAACTAAACGTTGTTATTGAAATTTATTGCGCGGATTCGTTGCTCTTTTTCTTTTTTTTTTTTTTCTCTCAACTGTATCGCGGGAATCGGAGGTATTATTTTTAGTAAGAGAGAGAGAGAGAAAACAAAGACTTTTCTTTGTTTAATTTTATCAATAAATACGTATGTGCATCTACATTTGTTTCGAATCGAGTTTCCATCGACAAGTGCACTTGTGAGTATAATGTTTTTTCACGAATACGAAACAAACGCCTGTCATCTGAATCACTAAGCAACTGTTCGTAAAATTTTAATTTTTAAACTAAAAATCGCAAAATATTCGAGAATCGATTAAATGAAGGAAGAAGGAAAAAAAAGCAACAAAGGGTGGGGGGGGGTCGTTATGTTCGTATAGTTAAAAGGAAAAAAGGCCGCAAGCCGAAGAGAGATTTCATCAGTGCGCAATATACACACATGGTGCTCTGCGGTTGCACGGTAATCAGCAACGCGTGCATTTTTCTCACCGCATAAAAGCTTCGCGGAGAGCATCCGGAAAAAAAAAAGAAGAAGAATAAAGAAGGCGAAGAAGCAGGAAGGAGAGAGAGAGAGAGAAGGACCCTCTTCCCATTCTCGACGGGCAAGCAGCTCTTCTGCCTCCCCTGTACGAGCGACTCACACACATGTGCCCCTCTCTATTCTTTTTTTTTTCCTTCAACTCTCGCAAGCAGATATTACGAGCGTAGGGAGCATAGTTCCCGAGAACGTGACTAGAAGGGAGCGATTTTTTCGCTCTATTATGTAGTTTCGCGCTAGGCGTGCACGCCCCCCGCGCGCGCCAAGTGGAACCCAGAGAGGACGGAACGCAGGAGGGGAGGTGTTGTTTCGAGATCTCTTTTTAGGGGAGCGGCAAAGTGAGTACGGGACTCTGTACAATGCACCCTCGCGTGGGCGTTCGCGCAATAAGGTTTTTTAAGCCTCCAACTTAGGAGCGTTTTTATTTTTTTGTCAAGTTCTCTGTCGTTCGGTGCTCCGGAATAGTATAATTTTGTTGAATCGCCGCGACCTACACGCTTTTTTTTCCAAGGTGAAGGAGAAAGAAGTGCTCTCTCTCTCTGTCACAGTTTCCTCGAATATTTTCGCTCACGCCCCTTCCATCGGGTCCCTCTTGCACGTAAAAATGCGAGTAAAAGTGTTCACGGACAGCTGCAAAAACAACGTCCCCCTCGCCACGTTTATCCTCCACCATCTCGTTTTCATCGCCTATAGGCAAAAATAGCAAAACAGGGAAAATAGAGAGTACTACAAGATGCAGGGATAATCGAAAATCACGATTGAGGCTCGCACAACAAGTTCCCGTTTCGCTTTCCACGCCATGCACCGGGAGAAATTCCGTATTCCACGTATAAGGCACGGAAGGTACTTTTAGCGCCAAGGCGCACTCGATTATCGATGCAAGAGGCAACGGCGCGCAGGAACAAGAGGCCGGGAGGGAGGCTATCGGGCCTTAGGATCGTCCCCGCGTCAGAGGACACGAAGAGAAACGCTTCCGAGTTGGGACGCGCGCGCGTGTGTACATGAAAATCCGTCCTATGCGAAATTCGAGCTCATCCCCGCATCGTATACCTCCATGCTGATTTTACGACTGCTTGAATAATGCACGCGTGTGGTCATGAAAATACGAAAGGTGTATTTATCGTTCCTCCCGTGTATAGTATCGACACACGGGCACGAATAAATTGCGAGAGAGGAAAAATACATAATTTTCAAGTAGCGCTGTTTGGTTCACCGTCTACATGTCGAAGTTGTCACTGTTGGCGTATACAAAAAGAAAAAAATTGTTTAGTTATAAATATATACGTATGGGTACATCAGGTAGATACATACCTAATAGAGGAGGCAAGTCACCCCGGTGTGTCTCTTGTTCCCGGTGTTGTCTCGCGTCTTGGCAAGCTCTCTTGGCATTTCTCGGGGTCCCAGGCAGCCTCCTTTCCCTTGGCTGATTATTAATAGAATACACATTTCGGGCGGAAAGCGTCTCGGGTCGAGGGAGGGGAGGCTCGCGTGTCTCGTCGTCTCGACGATCTGCGACGACGCTTCCTTCTGTTTGCTCCGATTCACGTGAAACTATGAGATCTAGTTTTTTTTTTTTTTTCTGTCTTTGCAGGATATACTTTGCTTCATTGGGGATATTCTTAGTCCATCTGTGCTGTGTTTTTTTCAAATTGTTTTGTTTACTCTCTCTTTACGGAATATAAAAAAATGAAAACTTGAAGTTAAAATTAAAATTGTAATGGGCGAGTACTTAAACCTTGATTGCAAAAACAATAAGCGATTTTGTGCAGTGCTGGCTTGCTTTGACCCATTCAATGATTTGCAATTCAAATGTTTTTTTTTTTTTTTTTTATCATGGCTAAACAAACAGTGCATATTTCATGACTAAAAATTGTTTTTGTTTGTTTTGTGAAAATATTTATTGATAATTTACATATTCAAGTAGTATTGTAAAAAAAACAATTATATAAGTAATTGATGATGTTTGTCTATTTCCAGGGTTGAAGTGTCACTGCGACATTTGCTCGGAAACCAACAACACTTGCGAAACAGATGGCTACTGTTTTGCCAGCACGAGTTTGGACAAGGATGTCATTACTTACGCATACAGGTATATTTCTTTGATGCTACAGTATACGTGTACATAGCCATATTAACTTCGGTAATCGATAATTGTTGTTGTACGTACAGTACGTCTCTGGATCAAACACATATGTTTTTTTACTTAAAGTTTTTGTTCATACAAAATTTTGTTTATTTATTTTGTTTTATTCGCGTGGTCACACGTAAAATTAAGTTAATCGTGACACTGGAAAAAAAAAATTCATATTTCTACAATCCCTTTTTCATTCCGACGTACGAAATAGTAGGAAAAATTCCCAATCGGAATAAAATGAAAGATAAATAGTTTGGTCAACGATAATCCTCGTTATCAGTGGAAAAAAAAGCACGTGATTCTTTACATTCGGTCTAAAAACATAAAACAAAGAGGAAAAAAAAAAAAAAAAAAAAAGTAGGGTAACGATACCGACACTGGCAAACAAACTTGTGGGGTGGCCTCGACACCCCTGTACGCATAAATATGTACGCGTACACCGAGTTGGTACGAAAATTTCGTGAACGATCGATTTCTTCCGCCCCGCGAAGGGCACAAGTATATATGTATGTACATAGGCGAGAAATGAGAAAAAAAAAAAAAAAAAAAAAAAGAGAGGGAGGCAGCGTGGAAGAGCTCTTTCGTACCTATACACCCCACGTGTTATTTAGCGACCACCCCGTAGCGATGGAAACGACCCGGCGCGTGCGAGCTTGCGTATATTACTTAAGTACTGTGTACAGCACGGGCACGCCTATCCACGCGCGAAAAGGTACACGGCTTTTCCTCGAGGCCGATGGTATTCTACTCGTCGCTGGTGATTTTTCCCCCCTGGCAAGATTTTGTTTTTTTCCGAGATTTTTCCATTTTTTATCTTACCTTTATACTTACACGTGATGATATTTCAGTCGCTAAGAAAAGACATTTGATACCCACGAACAGCTAATACTTTTTTTTAATCACGTATTCGTACGTGCCTTTCGATTCCGTAACGATGATTCGTGTTTTATTAACAACTGTAAATAAATGTATTAGAGGGGGTTGGATCAAACCCTTACGTGCGATGGAAAGCGCTGTCTGATACTTTCGAGCAACATCACTGCTAAGGCGAAAACTGATCGATGAAATATATGATGCGAAATATAAGGGGCTGTCGGTATTTTTAGTACAGTTTCCGTCGCTCGATAGGACGAGCCTTGTTTGTATACATGTAATGTATGTACGATGAGCGACGATGACACTGCTCGCGAATTTAGTTGATGCGTGTTGGCTATCCCGATCGATTCCACACTCGTTATTCGAGTGACGAATTTCATGAGCAAAACTTGTATTTTTCTCTCATCAACGAAGATCGTCCAGCTGTTTATTTTCATGCACAACAGACCCGTATCGCTGCGCGATAACAAAGCCGATTCGCACTCACAAGCGCCGGAGCATTGGAAAAACACGATCCAATAATAGTCGTCCACGCCTGTTTGGGTTCGACGACTTGCTTGTTGTTTTGGAGCACGAATTAATATCTTCCAGAGCTCCCCATTATCTCCCTCTCGATTTCGTTGCGCGCGCACACACGTATAGTACTTACCCACTGCTCTTTCGCGCGCGGTCGTGAATTAGCTCCATTGAGCTCCCTCCCGCCCCGGCTTTTATTCTACCTCGAGAAATTGTTTATTGCTCCTCGCGTCAACGTGACGACAACGCGCCGCGATACTTGGGGCGCAAACAACATCCACGGCTCGTGACGTCCGCTCTGTTGCGTCATTTAGATAAGACTCGCGTCTAATTCTCCGATTTACTCTCGGCGTATCTCTCATCTACCGAGAAACACTTGCTCTGTACTTGTAATAAAGTGGCTAGTGCACGTACAGCACGGAAATATACGTGCTGGTGTGTGGCGTTACGAGATTACGAGCGACGCGATTCCTGTGAGGGGAAAAGTGGTGCGGAGAACTTTCTCGTTAACGCGAGTAAAGATGAAAAAAAAAGTCCAATCTCGAAAAATGGTGGAGGAAAAGAAAAGTTCCTTCCAGCGTTGATTGGACTCACGTGAATGGGACCTCTTCACGAAACGCGTCTCGCTCTCGCACCGTTTTTACGATCGCCCCTGCCGATCGCGAGTATAACAAATGTCTCGTGTACTGCCCTTTGTTAATTTCTCTTCTTTCCACGGCTACGTCGAGCTTTTACGGCAACGTAGCGAGCTACCGTTTGTTTGCGAGATGTGCTTGTATGTTTTTTTTTTCTCCGCCTCGGAATCGGTGCTGATGGATAAGAGCATGTGTACGGTTTCGCTGGGAGTTGAGTTATCTCTGGCACTCTCGCGTGTCAATGCTTGGGCAGGTTTTTTGTTTGTTCAATTTTGCCGAAATAATACAATCGTCCAGATAAGGGTATTGTACGAGTTTCGAGTCCAAAGATACATCGACACGTCGTCAATTTTTACTTGATTGATCTGCCTTGTTTTTTGGCTCCGCTCTAATATCTAACATTTCAATAGTTGATACGTTTGTTTGCTCTATAAAGCTTTTTTCGACAACTTCGGAAGCTTTGCCATATGTTTTGGTCGTTGACCTTCGCACAATGACATGGCAATCTTTCGAAATGGGCTGTTACAACATTTCGTCCGTCCTATCTGCAATTACCAGGTTATCATTGAAATCACTCCCTCACCCGATACACAGCTGTGGAGTTGATGACGAGTGTACAATGTTAAAAGTCTCGCGCAACGTTTTGCACAAAAAGTAATCGTATCGCGCGTTATATCGCCAACAAAGAGCCCCACCGTCGTCGTCAGATTGTAGCTGCAAGTAGGAAAAATTCCATATTAATTGGCGACAATTGGCACGCGCGCGCTGGTATGAGGCTGTTACAGCCACGATGGCACAAAAGCTCGTCCTCGGAGATGAGGCGGATAGAGAAAGCCATACAGCGTGACAAAGCCGTTGGGGGGGAGGAGAAGTTGCTAGCGACGGCGTAATGTGCGGAACACTACGGATTTTTTTTCTATTACCACGAGCAATTGGCTTTGTATGCGCGATTTACGAACGCATGGGCACGCGTACGAGGTCAAATACGTATAATGCTCCGGACGGTAGATTTTATTATACGGGAGAGTATTTGTTTTAAATGAACGAAATATTTCTCGTAAGTGCATGTTTAATCAATCGCTTCGTGTCCTAATTAAACGGAGGATAAAATTTCATACTCGGCTTGTTTGTCCTGCGGCAGTTCTAAGAACGAAAAGCTTCTAGATAATGGCCTCTTTTGACGCTCGAGCTGCTCGCTGATTGCATGACTCATTCGACTATGGAAAAAAATTCCGTTGATTTTGTCACCCATCCGTATCCTGAACCATAGGTGTTGCAAGAGTTTTATAAATTATGTAACGTTATGCATATACGCATACTATGCAGCCTCTCTCTCTCTCTCTTTTGTCACAAAGTGCCATTTGGACGCAGGGGCGGAAGAAATTATCACCACAAAGATTGACCGCTTCCTTCGGTCGTCATTTCGAAAGTCGTTAAAGAGAACGGCATACAATTTTAATAATCTAACGATACATGTACTGTGTGATTGAAAAAAAAAACAAAAAAAAAAAAACAAAAAAAAAACTAAAGGTGCCTCGATCGGGAAAATTGGCTACCCCCGGAGGAGCCACACCAGTGTTACGCCAAACGAAGACCAAAAAGCCGAATCAATTACACGTGCTGCCACGATAGCGATCGCTGCAACAGGGGCTTGCGTCCAGCGTTAGCTTTACTGAAACAGCCCGAGCCTCAGCCAGGTGAACACACGATGTGCAAAAGTAAAAATAAAAACGCAAAAAAAAATTTCCCGATGTGTGTCTAATTCTTTTTTTTCTTTTTTTTTTTCTGTTCGTTTTGATAACCCTGCTGTTGGCTCACAAACGTGTTTGGATTTTGTTTCCTTGTTGATTAATCGACAGATTTTTTTTTTTCTTCTTCTTTTGAGCGTTCATACTTATATCTAACAACAACAAACTCTCGTGTTACGTAATACGTTTAATATAGCCATAGCGGCAGTAGTTGGGCCCAGAGAGAAAGAGTTTACATTTTTTGTTCTGTTGAATAACCCAATCTGCTGCACTGTCGTGTTGTGTGCCAGAAAGTACACTGTTCTGAATTTCATGCAATAATTCTTAATTACACTTTTTTTTTTTCTAACTCTGCTTTAGACGGGTACACACGGTTAATCACAATCTTAAATTAACGCAACCAATGCGTATAAGATTCTAACAAAAGAAACGCTCGAAATCATACTAGACGCAAAAAAAAGAGCCATCATTTTGCGCGTCGACGATTCTTACTGCGGACCTCCTTTACTCAAGCGAATACAGCATAACCACGGGCTAGAGTGAAAAATGTAGCAAAAGGAGAGGAAAAAAGGGAGGGAAAGAGCCAAGGGCGAATGAACTTGATCAGCCCGTGGGTCTCGGTTCATTGCGCCGAGCAGCGCGTGTTCTCTGTGTCATTCTACGCGCGCAACCTCTCTTTCTCATTATCTGCTTTCGACCGTGGCAAAACCCTCCCACCCATACACTAGCTTACACGCGCAAAAGCTCGCGCTCCATTGTTTTATCGCGCCTCGTTAATCGGACGACACGCCAACACGTATACGCGCCGACGATCCTTTCGCTCACGTGCACAGTTAAAATGAATACCCTTGCACGCGCTCGAGTATCCATCAGGAAGTAATTTACCCAACATTTAACCAATTCACGTGATTCCGTTTGCGACGAGTCGCGACTTTGGGCCGCAGATAATTCACCGAATCTTCTTGCTGCGTCGATACCATGTACACAAGAGTATGGCTCTATCGTAACAGAGTATTAGATTCCGCCTGCCGTGCCGGCTATAAATACATTTCGAGGGGTGGAGGGGGGCGGGAAGGAAGTGGAGGAGGAGCAACAAGCGCACGCCTAGGAACGCATATCTTTACATTTTCAATGATCCTCCTCTTCCTTCTTCCCCCCCCCTTTCTTCCATACGATTACT